ATTGGACAAAAATGTGCCTCAAAGTTTTGCAGCCTGATAGCTAACCAAAATCCGAACATTTTCAAAAGATTTGATTGGCTAAAACTTTTACTCTCATTGAATTAATTAACAAAAAAAGCCTGACTACTACAGGGATTCGACCCCCTCGCCAACCATCTCTTGGGACCCCCTCACAAAGTCTCTCTTTGGAATTCCATAATGAAAAAATCCATAATAAACCCTCATAAATAATTTTAATCCATTTTTTGCCAAGGAAAACAATTATTTGGGACAATAAAGTCCAATATTTTTATTATTTTTGATTATTATATTTCATGCACCTTTTACCGGTGCGTACGCTCAAAGCCGCACTCCCGGATAGCCGAAAAAACTAAATACCTCCGGTTTTAATTAAATTAAATCAGATACCTCTTCACTAAATTGAGACGCATTTTAATTGGATAAAAATGTGCCTCAAAATTTTGCAGCCTGATAGCTAACCAAAATCCGAACATTTTCAAAAGATTTGATTGGCTAAAACTTTTACTCTCATTGAATTAATTAACAAAAAAAGCCTGACTACTACAGGGATTCGACCCCCTCGCCAACCATCTCTTGGGACCCCCTCACAAAGTCTCTCTTTGGAATTCCATAATGAAAAAATCCATAATAAACCCTCATAAATAATTTTAATCCATTTTTTGCCAAGGAAAACAATTATTTGGGACAATAAAGTCCAATATTTTTATTATTTTCGATTATTATATTTCATGCACCTTTTACCGGTGCGTACGCTCAAAGCCGCACTCCCGGATAGCCGAAAAAACTAAATACCTCCGATTTTAATTAAATTAAATCAGAAGCCTCTTCACTAAATTCAGACGCATTTTTATTGGACAATATGTGCCTCAAAGGTTTGCAGCCTGATAGCTAACCCAATTCCGAACATTTTCAAGAAATTTGATTGGCTAAAACTTTTACTCTCATTGAATTAATTAACAAAAAAAGCCCGACTACTACAGGGATTCGACCCCCTCGCCAACCATCTCTTCGGACCCCCTAACAAAGTCTCTCTTTGGCATTCCATAATGAAAAACTCCATAATAAACCCTCATAAATAGTTTTAATCCATTTTTTGCCAAGGAAAACAATTATTTGGGACAAAAAAGTCCAATATTTTTATTATTTTTGATTATTATATTTCATGCACCTTTTACCGGTGCGTACGCTCAAAGCCGCACTCCTGGATAGCCGAAAAAACTAAATACCTCCGATTTTAATTAAATTAAATCAGAAACCTCTTCACTAAATTGAGACGCATTTTGATTGGACAAAAATGTGCCTCAAAGTTTTGCAGCCTGATAGCTAACCAAATTCCGAAATTTTTCAAGAGACTTGGTTGGCTAATACTTTTACTCTCATTGAATTAATTAACAAAAAAAGCCCGACTACTACAGGGATTCGAACCATTCGCCAACCATCTCTTCGGACCCCCTCACCAAGTCTCTTTTTGGAACTCCATAATAAAAAATTCCATAATAAACCATTATAAATAATTTTAATTCATTTTTTGCCAAGGAAAACAATTATTTGGGACAAAAAGTCCAATATTTTTTTAATATTTTTGAAACAAAAACATTTTTTGATTAATTTTGATTATTTTATTTCATGCACCTTTTACCGGTGCGTACCCATAAAGCCGCTTTCCCGGATAGCCGAAAAAACTAAATACCTCCGGTTTTAATTAAATTAAATCAGATACCTCTTCACTAAATTGAGACGCATTTTGATTGGATAAAAATGTGCCTCAAAATTTTGCAGCCTGATAGCTAACCAAATTCCGAACATTTTCAAGAGATTTGATTGGCTAAAACTTTTACTCTCATTGAATTGATTAACAAAAAAAGCCCGACTACTACAGGGATTCGACCCCCTCGCCAACCATCTCTTCGGACCCCCTCACAAAGTCTCTCTTTGGAATTCCATAATGAAAAAATCCATAATAAACCCTCATTAATAAATTTAATCCATTTTTTGCCGAGGAAAACAATTATTTGGGACAAAAAAGTCCAAAATTTTTTAAATATTTTTGAAACAAAAACATTTTTGATTGTTTTTGATTATTATATTTCATGCACCTTTTACCGGTGCGTACCCATAAAGCCGCATTCCCAGATAGCCGAAAAAACTAAATACCTCCGGTTTTAATTAAATTAAATCAGAAACCTCTTCACTAAATTGAGACGCATTTTGATTGGGTAAAATTGTGCCTCAAAATTTTGCAGCCTGATAGCTAACCAAAATCCGAACATTTTCAAAAGATTTGATTGGCTAAAACTTTTACTCTCATTGAATTAATTAACAAAAAAAGCCCGATTACTACAGGGATTCGACCCCCTCGCCAACCATCTCTTGGCACCCCCTCACAAAGTCTCTCTTTGGAATTCCATAATGAAAAAATCCATAATAAACCCTCATAAATACTTTTAATCCATTTTTTGCCAAGGAAAACAATTATTTGGGACAATAAAGTCCAATATTTTTATTATTTTTGATTATTATATTTCATGCACCTTTTACCGGTGCGTACGCTCAAAGCCGCACTCCCGGATAGCCGAAAAAACTGAATACCTCCGATTTTAATTAAATTAAATCAGAAGCCTCTTCACTAAATTCAGACGCATTTTTATTGGACAATATGTGCCTCAAAGTTTTGCAGCCTGATAGCTAACCCAATTCCGAACATTTTCAAGAAATTTGATTGGCTAAAACTTTTACTCTCATTGAATTAATTAACAAAAAAAGCCCGACTACTACAGGGATTCAACCCCCTCGCCAACCATCTCTTCGGACCCCCTAACAAAGTCTCTCTTTGGAATTCCATAATGAAAAAATCCATAATAAACCCTCATAAATATTTTTAATCCATTTTTTGCCAAGGAAAACAATTATTTGGGACAATAAAGTCCAATATTTTTATTATTTTTGATTATTATATTTCATGCACCTTTTACCGGTGCGTACGCTCAAAGCCGCACTCCCGGATAGCCGAAAAAACTAAATACCTCCGATTTTAATTAAACTGAATCAGAAGCCTCTTCACTAAATTGAGACGCATTTTGATTGGGTAAAATTGTGCCTCAAAATTTTGCAGCTTGATAGCTAACCAAATTCCGAACATTTTCAAGAGATTTGATTGGCTAATACTTTTACTCTCATTGAATTATTTAACAAAAAAAGCCCGACTACTACAGAGATTCGACCCCCTCGCCAACCATCTCTTCGGACCCCCTCACCAAGTCTCTCTTTGGAATTTTTTATGATATCCATTTTCGGCCACAAACGTTGAAAAGTAATAAGTTTGTGGGATCTCTTTAACTATGGAGGGGTATTGTAGTATCCCTATGGTACCTAATAACGAATCTTTCTCCCCCTTCTATTAGGGAATTGGTAGGGGGGGTAACTGTTGAGTAGATCCAAAATTTCGGCTATCCGGGAGCGAATTTGTGTTTCGGCTATCCGGTAACGAATTTATTTTTCGACTATCCGGGAACGAATTTATTTTTCGGCTATCCGGGTATTCGGCTTCGTGACACGCCACCCTTTTATCAGACTCGATAAACAAATTTGATTGACAGATGCAATAACGCCGTTTAGTCTGGTTAAAGACAATGTTTTCAGGGTTTCTCAGCGAAGTTTTGTTTGATGTAACCGCTTCCGTTTCGAATTTTCCACGCTTTTATATTTATCTCAACTGAAATAATACGGTGCTAGGGATATTAGCAGACCGGTTTTTTAGCAGACCGGTTTTTAGCAGACTCAGAACAATTTTAAAGTGTGATAGCTAACTTCAAACGCAGTATTGGCGATTAGCGACCGCTTGCTCCGCTGCGCTTCAATTCAACACGAGTGTTATTGTGCGCGTAACTTTTCATTTTGCCGCAATTTTAGACAGTTGTGTTTTTGAAGTTGATAGTTTTGTTGACAAATCATGAGATAATTGAGTTAATTGGGGGGAAGCTTGGCCCCAGACTGAGCGTCTTTTTGAGTCTGTCAATCAATCATCTATCACTTTATTACGTTGGTCTGCTAAAAGACTCAATTTTCACTTTTTCTGCTAAAAAACCGGTCTGCTAAAGTGGGGGGGGGGGGGGGGGGGGGGGGAAGGAAAGAGAGCCCGATCGGTCCCCAAATAATACATTGTGGTCTGGTAAAAGGTCGGTCTGGTAAAAGGTCGGTCTGGTAAAAGACCTAGCCCCGAGCGAAATCTATCCTTTTGTACTTTAAATGTCGTGTGGGGGTTGATTTTTTTTATTTTGTTTTATTTCATTTAACTTTTTAATGTTATTACTGCTCCATAGACCTTAAAAGGCAGTCGGAACAATCAGGGCTTCGCCCTGATACGAGCAGTCTTGGTAAACTTTATAATTGTTGTTTTTGTGTAAAAAGTAACTTGTTCAGACATCAGCCCGATCGGGTCAAACCAGTTCAATCGCATCACATCTCGCTGCTCCGAGTTTTCGCTTTTACAAAAATTGTGCATTGTCGCATTCGACCAGTTGTCACCTCGCGGTCTCTTCATGACATAGGTTTTGACCACCAAATTAGTCTACTTTATAGGAAAAGATTTCTTTTTTATTTATCATGCTTAATTTCTTGAAATATTCAGCACGAGCTATTTTAATGAATAATTATTTAAACACAATCATTCAGCAGTTTTTTCAGCTTTTTGTGGTAGTTAGAACATAGTTGAAAGATGCCCGAGGGAAAAAAAGCCCGGTCTGAGCGCTCGAAGTGCCCGAGGCCGTCTTCAACTATGTTCTAACTGTTGAAGAGTATGTTTTTTGCCCTTTCTGAGGGAAAGATGCCAGAAAATTGTGAAAGAGCCCGGAAAAGTGCTCGAAACTATGCAGATGATTTTTTTTCATTCATGCGTTTCTAATATTTCATTTTCCATCCATGCCTTGTCGTGAAAGAACATGTGTGAAAGAGCAAAAACATACTCTTCCAATTGTTCTCAGACTGTGCAGATTGAAAGAAATTGGAAAGATGGATGAGTGCTACTACCGAGTGATCTTAAGCGAGACTATCAATGAGTTGGCTGCCTTGAAGCCAGTCTCAGCCATTGACCCCAACTGGGGGGAAGTCGGAGGAAGCGCGGCTGGAGGGGATAGCGGAGGTGTGGACCCGGGGTTCAATCAGTTATGCCTCTTCTCTGATTTCTGATACTACTACTACTACTACTACTACTACTACTACTACTACTACTACTACTAAAAGACTTTATTCCCTGATAATGGGCAATGACAAAATAAAAAGTAAAAACAGCACTAAGCGCGACAAGTCGCGCATTTACACTTAAAAAAAGGATCATGAAGAGTTCAAATTAAAATCCGTCAGTTTGTTGAATAACAGTGTTTCTAGATGTTTTTTCACAGTTGATGGATTCTGCAACAGGTTGATCCCCTTTCCTGAAACATAGTTTGCGTTCTCCACATGGATAAAAATAGCTTCCCCATGTGGTGATCTTGCGGACTTTCGGTAGCGCGAACACAGTTGTATCGCTGGACCGATTACCCGCTCGTGAGTAATAAAAAGAAACATGATTAAAAATATTAAAATCATAACGGTTTTGCAGAAGTTTACTGAAAAGAACAAGGTCGTTCAGGATAATTTGATAGCAAATGGGTAAAATACGTAAAATGGGTAAAATATGTGGTACACCACTGGGAACAGCAGTACAGGACGAAAGAGAAGTATTTATGCGGACTCTCTGAGTGCGAACTGAAAGATACATATTTCCTAGGTCACAGTTGGTTCTTTCCCGGTAAGTATGAAGAACAAATGTGTTCACAATAGCATGTTTTTTCACCATGCAAGATTTATTTACATTATGACAAAGTAATATTAGTTTTTTTTTCAAAACTTAAATTCAAATTGGGGGCGCGTGGAAAAGAGCCTGATCAGTTTATGAAAAATCCATTTTGTAAAGATCATCATTTTCGATAAGTTTTTTTCATTTTTCATAAATAATAGGCACAAGATTCGTAACAGAATATAAGGGGATAAACTTTCATTCATAATTGGCTACTCTTGTTTTGCATAGAAAACTTTAGATGGTTAAGAAAACCTTTTTTCCGATATTCTGACTGGCTCAGTGACAGGGGTGGATTTTCTGCCCCCTTCCCTCAGGGATTCGACCCCCTGCCGACCCAAAGGGTCCCCCTTTTGGTACTTTTTAACAAATCCATTTTTTGCCGACCAACCCTAATTTTTTTCTAAAGGCGCCTTCGGCGCCAATATATACTAACTTTGAGGGGGAGCGCGGGCTCTTCTCCAGTCCCCCCTTTGATTTTTTCTGAAATCCATTAAATGAAAGTCTATTTAAAATGACTTTTGATGTTATAAACTGCATTAAAACATGTCAGCGTGAACAGGTGAACAAATTTCTACAAAACTTCTAACATGCAAAATGCCGAGTGAACAATATATGAATAGCTTTGTTTTGTAGTTTTACGAGGAGTTTTTTAGTTTTGTTTTGTAGTTTTAACAGGTGAACAAATTTTTACAACATTTCTAACATGCAAAATGCCATTTTAACAATATAAGAACAGCTTTGTTTTGTAGTTTTACGAGGGGGGTGGGGAACTCGAACAGAGCCGAAGCGCGCGCCAAAAAAAAAGCGATTTTTTTGTAAAAATTTTTTGACGTGTTTTTTCAAAAATTTGCCTACCGCGCAGAAAATTTGGCCAAAGCAGGGACATTTTAGTGCGGCTCTTTTCCAGTCCCCCCTCGGAAAATTGCAAAGTTAGGCTGTTTGAAAACTGTTCACACGGCATTTTGCATATAAGAAATATTGTAAAAATTTGTTCACTTGTTCAAGCTGACACGTTTTATTGCAGTTTATAATGAGAAAAAAGCTTGTTAAATTGATTTCCATATATTGAATTTTAGAAAAAATCATAGGGGGGGATGGAAAAGAGCCTTTAGTGCTTTAGGATAGCTCGGAAAATCAATTTAGTCGACCTAAAAAAAGGTCGTCAAAATGTTTGAAAATCCTAGATCCGTCCCTGCTCATTGATTTGTAACTCTTAACTTTTTTATATGTTGCTTTTTCGTTTTGTTGCGAAAAAATAACCCTGAGACTTAATGCACGTTCTTTTTTAACAAACAAGAGTTTGTTCATCAAAATTACAAAAATTAGCTCATAGTGAAGCAAACTAATCTTCAAGATAATGTTACTTTTGTTGAAAGGCATATTCATATTTTAAAAAAGCCAAATTGGTTTGGTGAGGCTATCTCACAAGGTTATATAATTTCTGGTGCGTTTATCTGGTTCTCAAATATTTTAATAATACATTCTGGCATCATTTTTTCTTTCTTTCTTCCCACCACTTTTGAAGAAAATAACGGAAAATTGTCCGCTGGGTGGTTTTTTCTTCAGACAAAGTTCGTCTTTTTAACTAGAAAATTTTAGTTTAATTCAAGAAACATTTGGCTCTTTTCCAGTTTCCCACCCCCTCGTAAAATTACAAAACAAAGCTGTTCATAAATTGTTCACACGGCAATTTGCATGTAAGAAATTTTGTAAAAATTTAATCACCTGTTCACGCTGACACGTTATTGCAGTTTATAACATCAAAATTCATTTTAAATAGACTTTCATTTAAAGAATTTCAGAAAAAATCAACGGGGGGACTGGAAAAGAACCAAGCCTTGTAAAAATATGTTTGTCAAGGCCATGAAGACCACATATGGGCTCTTTTCCAGTTCCCCCCTTCCAAATTCAATTTTTAAAAGCCTATTTAACGTCTTCATAATGCAATGAAATTTAGCGTCGTGAAAAAATCGACAATTCTGAACAGATTTGTTCTTCATACTTTACAGCGTAACATCACGCATTTAGCCGTAATAACACAAAACAAACATAAGACTCGATATTTTGAAAGGGGGGAACTGGAAAAGAGCCCACATATGTTAACTATGAAGACCAAATATGTTTGTCTAAGTAGTTCACATTGTAACATTCGGATAATGTGAAAAAAATTTGCAGGTGGGGGGAAAAGGAAAAAAAGCCCACATGCCATCTTTATTTTTGAAGTTAATAGCGCGTGTTGTGAAGTTATTAACGCGGAGCTTAAATATTAACGCGATGTTATCTTTCGTGCTTCCAACGAGCAATATTTTCATTGTTCCGACTTTTGTCACAAAAATAACGGAATATTTGTGCTCGGGGTGGGTTTTTTAAATTAGACAAAATTAGACTTTTAAATAGCCATTTTTGACGGAATTTTTGGCTCTTTATACCGAGTTTTATGTTTGTTTTACGTGTTATTATGGCTAAATGCGTGATGTTACGATGTAAAGTATAAAGCTTAAATCTGTTCACAGTTGTCAGTTTGTTCACCATGCCAAATTTCATTGCATTATGACAATGTTAAATAAGCTTTTCAAAATTGAATTTGAAAGGGGGGGGGGAACTGGAAAAGAGCCCAAATATGTTTGCCATGCCCTTATTATTCCGTATGCTAATTTTCATAACAATCAAACAATGTGAACACATTTTACATTCTAAAATTTTGCAGGTGGGGGGGGGGGAAAGGAAAAAGAGCCGAATTTTTTTTTATCATTCGAAAGCTATTGTTGTGCTGAGCTTAAGTTTGAAAAAATATTTTACTTTTAATCAATTTGCGTACAGTTTTTGGGGTTTACAGATTGCCATTTTGGCCAGCTTATGACAATTAACGCGCAATATATTTCGCGCTACTAACGCCTAAGTGAGATATAATCCGTCTTAGAAATTGTTCCAAATTGGTTCCAAAAAGCTTATATGCCATAATTATTTTGTTAATAGGGCTCTTTTCCAGTTCCCCCCTTTCAAAATACCGAGCTTTATGTTTGTTCTACGTGTTTTTACGGCTAAATGCGTGGGATCTTTTTCCTTTTCCCTTCACCTGCAATTTCTCATTACTAACCGTGTAAAACTACTCGTTAACCCAGAAAATTGATGGTCGTGTGAGGTGGGGGAAAATGAAAAAGAGCCAATGTGTGATGTTACGCTGTAAAGTATGAAGAACAAATCTTTTCAGAATTGTCGATTTGTTCATTAGGCCAAATTTCCTAAATAGACTTTTCAAAATTGAGTTTGAAAGGGGGAGAAACTGGAAAAGAGCCGTTAATAGGAGCAAAGTCTATCACTTTGTACTTAATATGACGTGTGGGGGGATGTTTTCACAAAAAATCTCAATTAAAAAAAAGCATTTTATTACATTTAAACATTTCATGTTATTATTGCTCCATAGACCCTAAAAGGCAGTCGGAATATTCAAGGCTTCGCCCTGATACAAGAATTCTTGTTGATATTTATTTGCTTTTAATTGGAGGTTTAATCTGTCTTAAAAAATGTTCTAAATTGAATTGAGGCAACTAATTTGGTCTAATCAAAATCGCTACAAGCGAAATATATCACTTTTCCATCAATAGAGTGTGGGTGATGATTTTCAAAAAACTATCTAGTCAAGAGAACTTAAAATGCAGTCTGAACATTTAGGACTCGGCCCTGATACGAGCATTTTTGTTGATCTATTTTGGCGAAGTACCCAAATAAATATATACGCCTGTAGATAAACTATAAAATACTGCATAGGGGATCATTTTTGTCACTATAACCTGGGGGTACAAACGCTTTTTTGCAGATAAAAAGTAGAACTTTGAGATTCATGTCCAAAAATGGCATGTTGGAATCAAGTTCAAATTGAGTTGAACGCCAATGAAAAGTGGAGTTGAAATGCTAATTTCGCCATTTTGGGATAATTAACGCGCGATATAATGCGACTTTATAACACGCGTAAGCGGCAAATGAATGCGTTTCTAATTGAAATGAGTCAGTTGGTTGTTTTTTAGGATATAAGACGTTCAATACATCATTTTGCATTTGAAATTAGCCTGTAGGGGATAAATTGAAAAAATTTCATCCAAAAAATTGTACAATGGTTTTAGTACAGTCGAACATTCCGGGATTTGCCCTGATATACAAGCAGTCTTGATTGTTTTTGGATTCTAATTTGGATTCTAATCATATTTTTTTAATCATAATCCTTTTTCCACTCTTAATATTGATAAAAACTCAAAGATTAAGATTGTCAGGTTGATATTTTTCCCAGATACAGTTAGATAACTGTGAAATCAACGCTTTTAAAAAAAAGGTTCGTTTTTTTTTCAACTAATGCATTTCTCATAAATTTGTTTTTTTTTTCATAATCAGAAAAAAAATGCTGCCGGTATAGTTATAAAGGGTCATACTTGTAAAGAGGTAGCAACTCATTATTCTAATATTATATAATTCTGATTTTCGGAAAAGGGTGAAAAATTACGCTCGATGTACTGTTCTATTCATCCACACTAATGTCGACTTTTCAACTAGTGTAGGCTTTTCAGGTTGGGTCAAACTTTAATCACTCAATATGAGTTTATTGAAGACTCAAAGTCAAAACAAAACACGTTTTTGTTCCGATCATTCAAAATTGGGAAAAACTTTTATCCGGGTGTGTTTTAGTGATTATTTTTCTTTTTTTTTGTTTTCTACGAAAAATCAGGTAGAAAAAATAATCATCGGAATCAGTCGAGTCAAAAATCATTTTGAAGTTTTTTTGGTTGCAATTCTTGTGACTTCAAAATTTTAATTATAAAATTAACCCTGCGTAGATAAAAACATAAAAACGCTTCAGGTTCTGTTTAAAATTTTTTATTTTCAGTTTAAATTTGAAAGAAAAAAAACGAGCGAGAAGCAGGCTAATCAAAGGAAAATTGTTTATGCTCAATTTGTGCCGTGAAAAATTGTTTTCACTCGAAAAGAATTAATTTTCAAATTGCTTGGTCTCTCAGTTTTGTTTAAGACTCCATGATTTTTTTGATTTGCTTGTTATCTTTCTTCAAACTATTTTGTCCAATATGCCTATTTTAACTTTTCAGGTCTTTTTGTAGCACCAAGCAGAAAAAAAACGCAGCACTCAATGTTCATTTAAAATGTGACCATTTAAGGTAGTTTTCTTACCGACTTTTTCTGTTATAAATGCAACTATATGCAACTTTTCTCTTGTTTTGGATTTTTACATAAAAAGAATTTTTTTTAAATTAAAAACTAACATAAGGCCGTCAGAAAATTCAAAGCATATCCTGATAAGATCCGCTTCGTTTCAGTTTGAATACAACATAAAGAAACTATGATACACGATAGTTTTAATTTGTTGCTAAAACATTTTTGCAAAATCAGGGTTTATAAAGAATTTTTGCCGAAGTAGCTACATTTTCCAATCTTTGTAAATCAAAAGTCACTGCGATCAAACATTTGTAATCAATTTGATTTTTACACTGGTGAAACAAACCAGAACTACAAAAGCTGGCTTCTAGAGTCAATTTTCTTTGTTTTGGTTTGTTTCACAAATGTTTACATCAAAGTGAACTACATGAATCATAATGAATTCCAGGGGCGGATCTAGCATTTTCTCGAGGGGTGGGGGGTTTCAAAAATTTTTTGAAAGTTTTGTCGAAATTTTTTTATTGGTCGACCAAATTGATTTTGCGTGCTCGGCTCTTTTCCAATTCCCCCCCCCCCCCCCTTCAAAATACCGAGCTTTATGTTTGTTTTACGTGTTATTACGGCTAAATGTGTGATTTTTACGCTGTAAAGTATGAAGAACAAATCTGTTCAGAAGTGTCGATTTGTTCACCACGCCAAATTGCATTGCATTGTGACAACGTTAAATAGACTTTTCAAAATTGAATTTGAAAGGGGGGGGGACTGGAAAAGAGCCGCGTGCTCTGCCGATGCAGTAAAATGACCCTGTTATGAACCAATTTCCATCGCCGCAGTCAAAATTTTGATAAAAACAACAGGCCAAAAAGAGCCAAAATCAAATCAGATGGCGAATGATAAGTTAAGCTAATTTGATATTTTTAAGCGTTAAGCTCAATTTTTTGTACTATTTCAGTTTCGGCTCTTTTCCAGTCCCCCCCCCCCCTTTCAAAATACCGAGTTTTTTGTTTGTTTTACGAGTTATTACGGCTAAATGCGTGATGTTACGCTGTAAAGTATGAAGAACAAATTTGTTCAGAATTGTCGATTTGTTCACCACGCCAAATTTCATTGCATTATGACAACGTTAAATAGACTTTTCAAAATTGTATTTGAAAGGGGGGGAACTGGAAAAGAGCCTCAGTTTGTACTGGAAAGGACGTTAACTTGGTCCAAAGAATCTCGCTAGACTGTAATCTGAGTTGCAGCTCGGAAGAATGCAAACTTTGGTACATTTTTCAAGTACATTAAAATTTTTTATGCTATATTTGATAATTCAATTAGCGCCCCTCCCCATCCAGATTAAGACCAGAGAAGAGTCTTCCTATTTGCGACCTGGGGAGGAGAAGTCCCTACTCTTGCCTTCTCACGAGCGTCTAGCGAACTACCGCAAGTTCATATCAGACCATCTGGACACTATTGACATCTCCAAGTTGGACCAGAGTATCCATAAACAGGCTAACAGATACAAGTCCAGATGCCGCACTTTTCTGGATGAGATACAGGAACACTGCGACACGTGAGTGTCCTGCTTTTGGCTCTTTTCCAGTCCCCCCCCCCCTTGTTAAATTACAAAAAGAGATGTTCAAAAATTGTTCACACGGCAATTTTCATGTTAGAAATGTTGTGAAAATTTGTTCAGCTGTTCACGCTGACACGTTTTAATGCAGTTTATAACATTAAAAAGTATTTTAAAAAGACTTTCATGTAATGAATTTCAGAAAAAATGAAAGGGGGGGGGGGAACTGGAAAAGAGCCCAGCTTTTTCCAGATCTTTTCACCACGTGCTTCGCAACCACTCCATAAACTATTGAGGATAGGGTGCGACTGATGCAATTCTTCAGCCATATTTTTCTTAAGCTATAGCGAGGTTCTGTTTGGCAGTTCTCGTCTCGAGAATTGTGCGTGAGTATCTTTTGTTGTAATGTTTGGAAAAGTAGATACTCAGAAGTAGATGTTCTGTAGATACTCGAGCAAGAGTAAGGTGGCAGGAAGTAGTGAGGCGAACAGATGGAAGATGTGTAGAGAATTGGACAGTGTGCTGGTGGTGTTGATCAAGAGCGCCAGGGAGCTGGACAGAGGCAACACTGGCTTCCTTTCCACTCTTGCCGACCAGGAGGAGAGCAAACAGCAGCAATTGAAATCATCTCTCTCCAGGTGCTGACATGGCAACGGATCAATCATTATTCATAACATAAGACCCTTCCATTGTATCTGATCCCAAAATCACCACTAAACGCTTTTTTGCTTTTTGCTCAATGAGTCATTTTCTTCATTTTACTCGTTCATCTCAAATTCCATTTTCCAGTATATATTGAGGGGGTCCTCGCTTTTTACCCGGCCAGTTTTCATACCATAAAGATTTCAGAAATAAAAAGTAACCACCGCAGTCGCCCCAACCGGCTAAATCTTTGAAACAAACAGGGTGTGTGTGTGTGTGTGTGTGTGTGTGTGCGTGGGGGAGGGGTAAAAAGTAGTGCGAGGGAGGAAGTTTAGGATGGGTAAAATGTACGGCATAAAAAGTGGTGGGGTAAAAAGATGCGTAACCACCTTTAAATCTATCGCAGTTCGATCCTAAGAACGGGAAGAGGAAAGGCCCTTTTCCAGTTCCCCCCCTTTCGTTTTTTCTGAAATTCATTACATGAAAGTCTTTTTAAAATAATTTTTAATGTTATAAACTGCATTAAAACGTGTCAGCGTGAACAGCTGAACAAATTTTTGACAACATTTCTAACATGAAAATTGCCGTGTGAACAATTTTTGAACATCTCTTTTTGTAATTTAACAAAGGGGGGGGGAACTGGAAAAGAGCCAGAGGAAATGGCATAATCACAAAATGCAACGATTTTAAGATCTTCTCAACTAAAGTGTACAGTGAGATGAAACTAGGATATTTCGTATATGGTTCAAAGAGAGTGGTTTCAACAGGTACTATCAGACCCTAGAGATGATCCAGAAGGTGGAGAGTGAGCTGGCTAGAGCACAGACAAAGAAAGAAGCTAATTTGAAACAACAGGAATTAGATCTGAGTGCTCTAAATTGGTACAATGGTAAGCTCTATTTTTCAAGCAAGCAATACTATTCAACTCTTTCTATTTATATTTTGCCAGATATTTGCTTGTTCTCTTCCATTGTAAACACAGGTAATTTCAGTCATTACAAGAAAACTGAAGCAATTGTTCGGGCAACTTAAAAATCTAGCCAAAGTGCATTTGGAAGAGGGCACTCTGGCCTATTAATGTTTTTTTTTAATCGAAAAAGATTTTTCCATAGTTTTTGATGTTAGGTGAGCAAGAGATGAATTTATTGAAAGAGACGAGCTATGCGAACAAGTCAGCCGAAGCTGCACTAAGCCGAATAGACAGACAGTGGGGGAGGAAGATAGAGGAAGCGAGGAGAGAGATAGGAAGGTGTAGGGAACAGAAAAAACAGGAGGAGCAGTGCCAAAACATTTCTGAGATACACTTGAACGAGACACTCCGAAGCACGCAGGTTCACACTTGTCCGATGCAATACTTATCTGATAACTCTTGACTTTGGTTATGCTGCAATTTATTCACACCCTTATCCAAATTTGTTCCCTTCACCCAATTACGTTTTTCCTTCCCTCCGATCCCCCTCCCATATTTACCCAAACAACCTCCACCCCCCCTCCTCAATTTAACCGCTCACGCTCCCCCCTCTAGGGTTATCAAAAACTGGGGGTTAATTACCTAATATTTCACCCCTATCTGTTTGGGCCACCGCCTTCCACATTGCTGGGAGGAGTTGCCGGTAACATAACTGTTTATTACCCCAAGTAGTGGGAGTTAAACTGGAGGAGGTTAGTGAGGGGTCAAAACTGGGGAGTGAATGGGGGGGGGGGGGGGGGGGTGAGGGGGTAGGGGAGTTGGAACCAGATCTAAACTAGATTTTATTATTGGATATAATTTTAATATTTCATCCCTATAAAATATTGAATACTAACCAACCATACTCCATCAAACTAACAACCCACTTATTTGTAAGTGCTGAAACTACTTGTAGTTTCAGCACCAGTGAGATTTGAATTTAACTTAGAATATAGTTGCCTTCTCCAAAGAGACCGACTCGTATAAACCAGTATACACTAGATCTTTTGAGACTAGGAGATTTAAGAGTAAGATTGGTATTAGACTAAGAAGTTGCACGAATCTATCCGGCCAAAAATAAGATAGCGTGACGAACAGACGGTGTACTCTATCTGAAATTATTCTATGAGTATAGGCATCTAGGTGATAACTCATCTGGTTCGACCAAAAACCTCGAACAAGACCTTAAGCAACTTAGATTAGAACTAACCAAAAAGTTAGATTAGAATTAGACAAATATAACAATTTCAAAAAATGTTATATGACGAAAATTTAGTAGAAATGCCACTACGACTCATTAGATCAGAGCCAATATTCGGAACAATACGAGAACTACCCGGTATTGGAAGAAGACCTCGGACAAGGCACGACCTACGACTAGGACTAAATCTACCAATAGATTTCATGCTCGTACGGCAAAAGCCGACTCAAACTTTTATATTTAGAACTATACTAGCACTAAATTTAGATTTTCATTTACTGACATAGAATCTTTGAAGAGAAGTCTTCAACAATTTTAAAAGGCGCTAAACCAAATAATTCTACAATAACGACTGATAATAACAGCCCTAGTCGTTCTCCCCAAAAATTTGCAGTAAATTCAAAACATCTTGGAAAAAATATTTATTACAAATAAAATTACAAAAATTAGTTAGTGTAAAACAAATAGTTAGTGAATATAAATCATTCTTTCATCCCAGCTTCATCACCCAAAACATAACAGCAAATCTTAAAAACATTAACATCATCAAAACTAAACCTTAATCTTTTTCTTTCACTTAAACCTTTAGCTAAACTATCAAGACTTATCGTTGTTTTCACTTAAAGTAATCTTATTTAAAGTAACAGATCATCAAGGCTTCCCTTGGATCTTTAAATAAATTCCACTTAATTCAAATTAACTTAATTTCATCTTAATGACCATATCATCAAGGCTTATCCTTGGATCAAATAGAACAATTTTGTTTCCCTCTCCCGAACTAATTATACCTGAACCTTGTAGATTGATTCAATATTCACCAACCCTTGATAAACAATCACTACCCATAAGTAAGATTAAGTAAATTAACCCTTAGCTAAGACTAGCCACGATAAAGACAATAGTTTAAATTCAACTTTTATACAACAAGAAAACCTAAACGGAACAAGAAATCCTACACAACAAGATATCCAAACACCACCACAATTCGTTACTGAAAAATTAGTTGAAACAATAACAACTACAGTAATACAAAATATCTCACCTATCCATCCAAACCTTACAACTCCAAAACCAAAAAACCCAATACTACCACAGGTAACACTACAATCTACAGTAAAACCCTCCGTTGCTCCAAAATACTCACATATGGATTACCAAACATTTAGACCAATGTAAAACCATCGCAAAACAAAAAAATTCATATAGAAATAATTTTGCAGAAAATAACTATAACTAACTCGGTAAATTTTAATGATTATCCACAAACTTCACAACATCGGAGTGAAAATTATCCATTTTTTCCACAAAACAAAAATATTACTCATCGATGTAATACTAGACATCAAAAACCTTATTATACAGCTAATTATGTTCCATCAGATGATGAGGAATATTATAATCAGAGTTTTTATCAAAATCAGAGACCTCGTTCTTACAACATAGATTAACCAGATACTTTTGAACCATATACACGAGAAGAATAAGTACGACAACCTAGAACAAATCCAACGTCCCAGAATAACAATTTTTAGTCACAAAACCCAGTAAAAATGCAATCTTACCAACCAACTCAAATGCATATTAAAGTTCCACTACCATTTTTTTTACAACAATATGAAATAACAAAAAGTCAACCTACGAATTTTTCACAAATGCCAAATGCCGAAGAATCACTTCAAACGACTATGAATTCTTACCTAATGGTGGATCATCAATATCATCAAATAAACCATTAATGGTATTCACTGGCACAGATACTGAATACTCTGTAGAGGATTATCTAAACGCAGTCACAGCAAATCTAGTTTTCAAAACATGACTTAAGCCAGTAAATACGCCACTTCATCAAAATTGGATACAAAGACGCACAGCACTAATCCAAACCACACTTGATGGCGCAGCCCAAAAACGGTTTTCAGTTTTACCTATAGATATAAAATCAGATTGGAAAAGTTTCACACAAGAATTTTCAAAAATGTTTGACTCAACAAGATAGAAAAAAAACAAACAACATCAAAGAAATTTATGCAACGAAACTCGTAGACTACCAAATGAAACAATTAAACAACTTGCAGTGAGAAATGAAACATTAGTCCAAAAAGCATATTCACTCAACACTCATGATTATAAAAATACAAAGATGACAGATATCTTAATGATGATCTAACACCTCAATCACGAAACATAGAAATCAAAAACAGAGCATCACATCCTTCCTCAATTCGAGAACCAGATTTAGATTTTAGAAAATTAGTTCATAGATTAGAACAAGCAGAAATCACTATAAAACTAGAAGAAACAGAAAATTTGAAGCTACAATATGTCAATAACATTCAAATCACTAATACACAAGTTTATCCAAAAAATTAACCAAAATTTTAAATCTGTACGAGAAAAACCCGAGTTTTATAGGTAAACCATCGTTCCAAAAATGGTGTTACTATTGCCGAGGGTACGGACGCAGCATTGCCGATTGCAGACAAAAATAGCAAGACAACCAAAATAAACCACAAACGTATAGAGAACCAAACAAATCATTTCATCGATACATGAACAAAGATCAAAGTTTACCTAACAAAAATATCCACAGAAAAATAGTTCTGGAAAACCACTTCCAACTAATACAAATTATTCTAGAAGTCAATCAACTTATAATTCAGACTACAGAAGACAATCACCAAACCAAAGAAATTCACGTAATTTCTCACAAAATAGATATAGTCGATCAAATAGTCGAAATAACCAGTATGGAAACAAGTATTCAAGATCGAATTCAAGCCGACCGGAGTTTTCGTGTGAAACCAGTTCCCATTCACACTCTAGGAATAGACACTTTTCCAATGATCGATCAAGAAAATCTTCGTACAATAGAAATAAAAATTATTCCAAAAATAGGAATAGAAACTATTCAAATGATCGAAATCAAAGATTTCAAAACAATAGATCACGTGATTTTTCTAACAACAGACAAAATTATCAAAGATCAAATGTAAACAAAAATCACAATAGATCACGTGATAATTCACAACATAGAAATTCAAACTACAATAATAGACAAAGAAACTACTCTCAATCACCACATAGGAATAACACACGTTATCCAGATTCTCAACAAAAATTTAGAAGTAGTACACCAAAACATCAAAGTCAAATAAACCAAGTAAAAACAAATGAAGAAGTAAATTCAGACCCCCCTGGTATTGATAATACAGAAAGTACAGAATTAGAATTAAATCACATCAATTGCGAATCCAAAGACAGCGAAAGTGACACAGAAAACGCAATTTCAATTAACATGATACATGTTCAAAATGACTACGAACTCCTTATATACGAACAACCAATATATTCTCATATCTATGAAAAACATACAGATTTTCTTTTAAATTATTATACAAGACCTATAAATAATAACAAAACAAAAGAGCAAATAGTAGAAGAAGTATAGAGAATAAACGAACCTGTAGAAGAACCTGTACCATGTTCTACTAAAAATCACATCTACCAAAACGTACCAAAGGAACCGCCTAGAGAAAAAGCTTGGATAAATCCATTCCTCTTAGAAATTCTAAAAATCAAAGAATTTCAACCACCAGATCTTGAAATTGATTTTCTAATAGATTCTGGAGCAGAATCAAATATCATCAACATTCCAAGTTGGAATGAAATCAAAATACTACATCCAAAGTTAATACCGTTAAAGACAGCAAGCAGGCTAGCAACAGCAGGCTCAACCTTAACAAACTACGGAAAAATCCATTTTTTTTTGTTCCTACTCGAACAATGGAACAAAGCAAACTCAAGAACAAACCGTTCAAGCAAACCTTCCATATCACAGATATAAAACACAAAATGCTTGGAATTCGATTTACCACTAAATATATACCAACTATTAATTTTTTAGACAGCAACATTAATATTAAAGACAATTACACAAGGATGAATAACCCAGCTTTAACATTCTTCCAGAGAATAAACAAACAATCATGATTTTTTTTCAAATTTTTACCCTATAAACAATAAGGAAGGGAAACACCTGAAACCACTATCAGGTAAATTTGTGAATTCCCAATCAAACTAGTTTATCAATATGACAAAACAGACAACATCTCTATTTGTCTGACCTTAAATTCAGACCAATTCATTAACTTTTTGAGTAACAATTTCATCTATTAAGTACA